TAAAATTCAAGAGCTTTTCAAGTGCCCTTGAAAACGTGAATTAAATTCAAGGAGTTTTTAAGGAGTTTTTAAAGGAGTAGAGTTATGGCAGAAGTGATGGTCAGGGTTGATTAACAGAAGCCCATGTGTCCAGATGTTGTTATGGTGCAGATAAAAGAAAACAGTTTTTACTAACCCCAGTGCCCGCCATACACTCTTGACGTCTCTCTCTGATGTAAGTATTCATGCTGATGGCTGACGATGAGCATTCAAACCTAAACAACGGCGTCTAGAAAAGAATACAAGAACAATATATTCAAAATCATCCCAAAACATGGAGCCTACATTAATGAAAATGTCTTCTTTTTATGAAAGAAGAGTATTATGAAATACTGAAAATAGGATAAAATCGTAAATAATTTWTTTAGTTAATTACTATTTAGTTTGATTATTATTTTTTATTTATTTATTTAGCTTTAGATTTTTTTTTGTACAGCCATTTGTATGTTATAAAATTGTGAAATATGAGCAAAGCAAAGCAAAGCAAAGTAAAGCAAAGTAAAGTAAAGTAAAGTAAAATAAAATAAATAAAAAAAAACCAAGGGCATCTGATAACTAGTGGTGCTTAACAGCGAGGGTTGTTTCGCCAGGGGGGTTGTTTGGGTGGTAGTCACACCCCTTTGGAGTAAACGATAAGATAAAACTTAAAAATGGCGCTGCCTTTGTGATGGCTTATTTCTAGGTTACAGCCAGCCGCCTTCAAATCATTCTGGATCCAACCACTGAGGGATGCCTGTGACTGACTCACTTGCCTATTGGCTATGAAAAATACTTGCAAAGCCATAAATTTGTGATGTGAGATGAATAATTACGGGATGCATCTAGAGGAGTGACCATCCCAATGGGAGGAAAAGTTGGCTTCTCTTAAAAGCTATATTAGAGAATTTTAGATTTACGTTCACGGCAAACGTCAAACGTCAGTTGACCAGTGAAAAAGGAATCCATGTGTAGTGAGAAAGTTTGTAAAGGGTTAAGTAAAATACAGGAAAACGATGAAAACGTGGTCATGTTTGCTGGAAGAAAAAAAGTCAATCTAAAACTTTCTATTAGCATAATTGGTACCTGATGTACAGCTGTATGTCTTTTAACAACTAATTCTATCAATTTTAACTCACTCTAAGTTCATTCCTGGAAGCACCTCTTCTCCTTGGCAGAAAGAATACCGATATGTCACTGAAAAATATTCACATTTTAGACATTTAGTATTTTTAGTGAAAACTTGAAGCATTGAAATCTCCGAACGCAATGGAAATGCTGTTTGAACCTTGCATGTCATATTGCAGTTACAATGACCTACTTTACATGTTATTGTAGTATGTTTACATACCTGTCAGAATCAGAGAAAGTAGCTGACGTCTGTTTAGATGACACAATGTTCTCTACATCCAGGTAATCAAGGTAGTCGTTGAGAAGAACTTGAAGCTAGAAAAAAAATAAATGCACGTTACTTTGTGTTCTGAATCAATTGAAACAGTTCATCTAATTTTAGCAAAAATTGTAATGTTATGTTTCCCAAAAGTGATCGCATTTCTTGCAAAAAAAATTCTTGCAGCAGTACGAGAATTTCTAGTCAAAGCAATTTGGGAAAATTACTAAATATAAATGAAAATATTTTATGTACATCAAGATTTTAGATCCACATTACATATGAAAAGAATTACAGCCAAAACTAAAAAAAAATATTCAGGAATAGAAAACGTGTAAATTGTGATCGATGAATCTTAAAACTCCAGTGTATGTGGGCTTAGCCTCACTTCTGAAGTCAATAAACAAAAGCAGAAATTCGAATAACGAAACAAGCAACTCCTGGATTCGAGGCTAAGCCTGCATACACTGGAGTTTTAAGAGTCGTCAATAAAACACAAAGGGGTTTGCAGAACACTCAATGAAGTAGTGTTAGGAAAAGCATATCCTCTAGCAGAGTCCTTATAGAAATTAATCCCAATTGTTTAATCCCTTTTTCCATTAAAAAAATGCACAATTTCTGCAAATGTAATATATTTATTATAAATGATCCCCTTGAGCGTTTCTCAAAACCCATTCAACTATTTGATTGAAAAAAAAAAAAAAAAATTAAATTAAAAGAAATATGCCCTATCTAAAAGTCTAACTCTGTTTATTACTTACTGCAAACTGTATTTCATACCAAACAGCATCAATCTTGTAGACATTTGTTTCCTCTGAAAAAAAAAAAGTGGAGATGTACATTATTTCAAATCGTTACAGTGCGAACCAAAAAACCATGGGAACCTAGAAATATTTCAAGAATGTTTAATAGCCAATCAAAGGCGTTATTGTTAACTTTCCGTTATCTTGTGGTTAGAAAGTCAATTCTGATTGGCCAAAGAAGAATAGAACATTCCTATAACATTTCTAGGTGCCCATGGTTTTTCGATTCGCACAGTAATCAAAAATACTTGATAATACCGCACTGTTATACTGTATGCAAATAGCGCCATAGCAGTGAAACAAACTTGTTTACGAGCGGGTTCTGGAGGATTTTTCATTTAGGTGGGTAGGTCAATCCCCTTTAGTATTGTTTTTGTTTTTATTAATGTTGGTGTTCCCTCATAGTAGGTGAGCTTTTCTCATGGGTATATACACTCAATCAAAATATATATTTTTTATGAGGTATGACGACGAATTTTATAATTTTGTATTGTCCTGGACTGACTAATTAATCAGAATACATTTAAACTGCTTGCTATATTTCAATTTGGTGAATAGATTAATGCAGAATTTGTAAAAAAATTATCTAGCATACCAAGGTCTGTTGCTTCTCTGTCTTTTCCCATCCCCTAAAAATAGTCATTTTTTTATAATCAATAATCAATAATTAATATAGTCAAAAAATATGCTTTTCATACAAGAATCACCCCACACATCATCCTTTCTACATCTAAAAATATATGATATACATACAGCCAATGTCATGAATGTTGTCTGCTGAAGAAAGGATTTGCACAGCGACAAATCATCATAATTATGATACCTTAAATACACTCGCTCTTTAGAAATGCTTGATACCAGCCATTATTGTATACGTCAAGTTCATAGATCATTATTATTCCATTGCTTAAAGCCAATTAACAAAAAATCATCATATGACTTTTGTTGTAATGTTATTTCTTTTCTTTTTTTTTTTAGCTGGACAACAATAATGGCATTAATTATATTTCAAAATCTTTCCTTCTAAACGTACAGTGTGTATCATTCAGCATTTGGACAAAACCCAATCAGAAAAAAAAAAGGAATTACAGCACATGCTGTACTTGGTCCTTTCTATGTTAAAAACTATTAACTTACAATGAGTCTTTCAATTGCAGCAAGAATCACACTGTGAGCATGTGCCACACCCCGGAACTTGTCAAAGATCACTTCAAACAGTTCAAGTAACAAATGAGGCTGATTCTGATAAACAAAAATAAGAGCACCTTCCTTATTAGCAAGACAATCATGTTTCCTGTTTTAAAGTGCCTATCAAACCTACAGGATCTCTAATAAATAAGAATGGCCTTTACTTCTTTTTCATATCTTATTTAGTTACTGACATTATTATTCAATATTGAAATCATGAAATGATGATATCAACCCAGGATCCTCATAAAAAGTCAAATCATCAACAGAGAATGCCTTTGTGAGAATTAGCTCAAAATGCCTGGATCTTATGTTGGTTATAATGTGAGCTATACACACCAAAATTTATCACTTTAACATATTCCAAACAAATCTGGTTGCATAAAGTAAAATAAATATGTGGACGGACACACTGATGAATGAATAACAAGAAATGTACCTTGTATGAATGAAATAATGAAGGTTTTGATCAGAAGGACTTACCTGTTGTGCAATTGGTTCTCCCTCTCTTCCAGCTCTAAAGTTAAAAAAATAAAAAAATCTTATAAATTGTTATCATTAAACACGATCAATTAAAGAGAGGGACATTGAGGGTAGTGGTGTTGCGTGATTGAGACCCCTCAATGTACCCCTCATTTAATGCAACAAGTGCTGTGGCTTCCAAGCATTTTGACATATTTTCAAACAAGCAATTACTGGAATTCTAAATCTTACCTTTCAATAACTTGTGAAGTTGCTCTGTGGACTATCAGTGACATCTCCATTTTCATTCTTCCCTTAATAGCCTGCAGAATGAAGTAGGGAGGAAAAATTGTAAGAAAAACAAAACATTATACAGTATGGGCACCTTACACCTGAGATGATTCTAAGAATCTAGCCGACCTTCAATCTGTAGTTAATAATGAACTTCCGAAGATATATAAATATTGTAGTGCCAACAAACTGACAATTAACTTTGACAAAACAAACTTTATGTTAATAACAATTCCTCAGCGGAAACATGCCCATTTAACTATTCCTAACATCAAGCAAAAAAGTTGCATTAAGTACTTAGGTGTATAATTGATGAATTTATGAACTGGAAAAACCATTTGTCATATGTTAGTACTAAAATAGCTAAAAATATAGGAATCTTATATAGATTGCGTAGATACCTGAGCATTAACTAGAAAGCTTAGCTCCTTTGGCTGTTGTACACTTACACCTATTATATTGTTAATTATATTACAAATTCTAAATATTATTCAACTATATATATATTCTTGTAATGCTATTATATAAAATTGAAAAAAACAGTGTAAATAAACTGAAATTGAATTGAATTGAATTAACCAAAATATGGTGACAGAAAAAATGCAATTTTTTTCTGCTAACAATAAGACTACATGTACAATAAAAATATATCAAATGAAAAATATTATTAAAATATATATATATATTGAAGCTAACATATCGGATGTTAAATGTTCATTTTTTACATCCCTTCTGCACCAACAAATAATTGTTTCACTGCAGCAATAAATGCATGGACTTATTAGGCCATAAATTTACCTCAATTGCTTCAGGTATCTTGCCCAACAGTGCTAAGGATTCAATCAGCAATGTCATGAAATGATCGCTGTCTTTTTCAGGATCAACATTGAGATCTTCAACGAGCTGGAAAAAAATTATTCAATTACAGTAAGAGTCCAATGTTAAAACAAAATAATCAGTGTAGCAGTTATTTTTGCAGTTATCAGTGATATAAGTTTTGATCTGATTCTTTAAATTAATGTTCTCATACAAGTACAGTATCTCAGTCTGTACCTCATCGCCAATCTTGCTGTTGATGTCTGTTTCAGTGCTACCTTGTTCAAGCATCAGTGATCCTGTAAACAAATAAACAAGGCTGATAGTTGGCCAACAATCAGTTAACACACAGTAGATAGTCTGCTGACTATCGACCAACAGTCGGGCGATAGTTGACTGACACGTGTCAGCTGGCCATGAAGTACACGATTACCCAAATGAACATACTAATTAGTCCACAAACTTACACACACATCTAATCCAGTAACAACATTTAATTTTACAGGTATACAAGGTCTGTCTTTACTACCAAGAGAATACAGATATCATTTTTATCAAAGGTATAGTAGCCTGCCTTACTTGATGCAGATCTTGTGTGTGTTTTTTGGAAATTCCCCACAGGTGTCTGGATACTTGGCACTGTCTCTGTAACTGTAATTGTACCAATGGTATAATATTAATATATAAAACAGATACAGTATGATCCAGTATGAATCACACAAATTATTCTCCATCAGACACTACACGGAATTAGCAACCATTGGTCTAATATCACTCACTGTCGATCCAGTAATACAATGTAGTCAATTTAAATCTCACAAAATCAACCACTACCAGTCACTGAGACACACCCTCTGCAACTGTCAATCAATGTCCTTCTCTGTCAATCACATGTGACAGAGTCAAAAGACACTATTTTGGACAGTAATTATTTAGTCATAAATCTATATTTTTAATTAGGAATGCCT